GCTCGCTATCACCCTTCTCGGAGAGCCCGCCCGGCCCTTGTGTGGTGCAAGAGCTGCTCCAGGCTCCCCGAGCAGCACCGCGGGCAGCCCGCAAAAGTTCACAGCAGGCGGATGCCCTAGGCCGGCAGGTACGTTTGTTCCTGAAGGAGGAAATGGTGAGGTAAGTAGGCTTGGACAGATCAGCCGTGAAAATGGAACTTACAAAGTTTCTGTAATTGAATGAACTTTCTTACTAGCAGAACTAGAAGGGAAAGTTACTCCAAAACACTCTCACAGCAGATGAATTTGAACTGTGTAACACAGTCTGCAGTGGGGGAAGAAATGAAAAAAGACAAGCGCTGCTGTTACCCGAAGGGCTGTTCTTTCTGCGTCTTAGACAGGTCTGACAGGATTTGGCAGCAGAGCGCTGTGAAGAGTAAGCGTCCAGCAAAGGTCTCCTCTGCTACACCATGTATTGTCCCTGCTATTGGACAGCTCTGGGAGAGGGTCATATTTTACATCTGCCAGAGAGGGTATTTGTGTAACTTTTTTTAGATTAGCCACCTCATCCACCTACAGAACCATTTCATTACTGTTCATTTTTTCAACATATTCCTCCCTATGTCTGCAGGAGACCTACCCTCCTCTCTTTGTTGTAGACTACAAGTCTAAGACAAAGGTCCCGAGGCTGAATACTAGAACTTTTGCTTAACTTTCTTAGAGAGGGTGAGCCAATTTAGCCCTTCAATGCCCTTTACAGCCTCTCACACAACTTTTTGTATCTGTTTTGTCTCCCCCTTACTATTTAAAAAAAAAAAAAATAGGGAGAAAAAAAAAAGAAACGTTGTTCACCTTCTGCAGCTTCACCGGCCTTTAGAGAAGTCTGTTTTCACAAAGCAACATCTGTAGAGTTACAGTGTTGCAACGGTAGGTACACTTGGGTCACCTCAGGGTTTATTTCTTACCCAAGCCTGATACTGCATTCTGAAACAAGTTAACAATGACTCACAGAGGCCCAAACGCCTGATTTCAGAACTTCACTGCCCAATTCTAGCTACCTGGTGTACATTATTAGATTGTAGGAACAGAATTTTCTTGTTGAGATGCTACTGATCTCCTCCCTCTTACAAGGACACTGTCCATAGGCTTTGTTTAATAGTAATACCTGTAAATACATACTTCTAAAAAATTAGGTCCATGAAGCTGCAGTGCAATACAGTGACTATATTTTATGTTGGTGCTCTATGCATTTCTGCAGGTCTGTTCACTAATGCCCGAGTAACATCTTACTAAATACTCATGAATACATGCAGTAACATCCAGTAAGGCACAAAACCCAACTTTTTGCTGGTGGTAAGTACAAAGCACTCCCGTAGAACCATGTTGTGTAAACTTGCTTATTTCTTCATATTCTGTTTTGTCATAGCCACTAAGATATTTGAGAGGTGACCGTAAAACTGTAGTTTCCTACTGGGTAAATTGGTTCAGCTTCTCTAGCACATCTCAGAGTCTTGGGTGACTCTACCTATTAACAACTTGATTTTTTCCAGTTCCTGGAAAAAGCATATTCCTG